GAAGTCTGATCGCAGCCATTTTTCAAGTGGCAACCCTCAACTTTCTCGGGCACTTAGGACCATTTTTCAAGCGTAGTTTTTAGCCCTTCTGCTCTCATATGACGTCACAGCATGTCGGCCTAGCAGACCATGCACAAAAAGCATGCCATGTTGGCACACACATACCAACGACTGATTCCCGAGTGCCACAGTGTGCGGTAGCTGTAATCAGTGATCACACCGAAACTATACTCTGGACACTGCAGCGCTCAGGAATCAGTCATTGGTGCGCACGTGCCAACACAGCATGCTTTTAGTGAATGGTCAGATAGGCCAGTGCCTTGAAGTTGTTGCAAGGACATGAACATACATGTGTGGTTTAAATCGTTATCTGAACAAGATGGCGACTTTGAACTCATAATAAAAGTGTTTCCAATTTGAAGAGGAAATTTCTCTTTTCTCTCCAAATGTAAGTAAACCTTACCATCATTATTATACACCTGTAGGTGTAACACCCCAAATTTGTTGAGCTACCGATACACATGTACATGAAAGAAAGCTTGTAACAAGAGAAAGTTGAAATAATGTTCCATTTAAATGTTACAACACTTCAAAGTTGAAAAATTTCAAAACTGTTCTGCCACTGTTTTTGCAAAAGTTGCTGCACGGCAAAAAAGTATGACCTGTGTACGGTACATGTAGGGACAAATAACTGGGGATTGAAACTTACATTGGGATAGGAGAGGTTCATATATTTGGCCAAATTCAAAGGATTTGTTTTTTAAATACAGTCATTATAAACCCATCTTTTTTTTTTAATTATTATCGATACATTTTGTGAACTGAGAAACTTATTTGGTCAATGAAACATTACTTTTATTTTGCATCTATGACTTTCAAGTCACCACAAGCCATATCTTCTTCAAACTTGTATGTCTCAGTGCCTTCACCCTTATACTGGATGTTGTGGAATGACGGATGACTGTGCACCTGATTACAGCAGTCAAAGGAGAGAGTTACACACTAGAAAATTTTGGGATGACCACTCATTGTAACTGCAAGAAACATTTAGCTACAGCTGTACATGTATGATCGATTTTATTACATGTACATGTACAAACCAAAATGTGGAATTTTAGGATGCATCTAAAATTTGCTTGTTTTGCGAGAAAAGCCTGAGCACGTGGATGAAAATAATTGAGAAAAATTTGTTGTGCAACGATGCATGCTTTCAGGCAGTTCTTTTGAAATATGTCAGTAAATGCCTGCTACACATATATACATGTATTCTCCAGACACTCATTTCTTAATTCACATGCATAAAGTTCTTTTAAAACCTCTATTTTAAGTTAATAAGATATCAAATCAACAAACTGAGTGAAAAATTCATTATTACTTACTAGAATTAATACATGTACATGTACATGTAACTTAAGATACAGTTGTGAATTGAACACAATTTTACAGTGAAAAGAAAACCCTTCTTGAAAATCTTGACTGGCTGAATGAATGCATACATGTAGTAAATCACAATTGCTGTCATCACTGCTATCAGACGCAACTGCTTTTAACTCTGACATGCTGAAAATAAGACCAAATATATATTTTTCAAAGTAATGACGTCTTACATTAGAGAAATCAACAAGGACCAAAAAGCAAATAAATGTGAGCTCATCACATAGTTATAATTTTAATTTTTTTCATAAGTATTTGTACATACATACATGTACTTGTACTGGTAGTTCCCAGTTGAAGTAGTTCAAGTTACATGTAATTACAATAAAGTGACTTTTAATCAGATGAAGAGTTTCATGAATTTTATTGAAAATGAAATAGCCTGTTTACATTCACACAGTATTTTACTACATGTATAAGCTTCATAGTACGTCTTTTCACTGGAGCACACACCAAAGTAACCTATTTTCTCTGATGCACGCAGGAAATTTGGGCACATGCATTTACATAATATCTCTCTGTATCTCCGATGCAACATTGAGTCAGGCAACAATCTACCACTCACAGGACTCCTCTTGTAGAATAAACCTTCAGGAACATATTTATCCACTCCGAGCAGAACAAAAGAGGATGTGGTTTTTTAGTACTCACCGCATAGGCGCGCGTTTACATGTACAATAGGATCAACGGCACTCGTACGTTTGACGTGAAGCACATTGAGTACACGTAACAAATTTATTCCTTAATGTACATATATGGTCTTTGTGTACATGCAGAATGTGTGCAAGAACCTGCTTAGTCGCTTACTACTTACTATCATCTGTCTTTCTTTTGCAACTTGGGAGTGCACTTCAACTCCCAGCAGATAAGGTACCGGTATTCACTTCTGCTTTTAACCTTGAAGACCATGTATATGTAAATCTAAAACCCTTAAAAACTGTGCGAAAAGGCATTGCGAATTCTCCATTTTTGCCTGGCACGTTTTTGCTCTGCAAAAAAGCAGAAAAGGCACTCCAAACCTATCTCTAAAGATTTTTAATGTTTGCTACCCTCTGAAGTTTCATTTGTGGGAACACTCGAGAGAAAACGAGATTTGGGTCAGATCGCCTCAAAGGCAAATTAAACTCAAAATGGCCGCGCACTGGGAGACCCGACAAAAAATTCACCTCTCAAATTTGGACACCTAAAGTGTACAGATAATTTCTGCAAAATATTTTCATTCACAGGCAAGTTTATTAATATCTGTTTTGCCCAAATTTTGCTGAATATTATCCAGTAGTTAAGAAGAAATCACCGTTTGAAAATAATTGATTTTATGTGGTCATGGTGGTGGCAGAAAAGCAAATGGCGTAAGTCCCATACCTAATTATTGGAACCACTGATTCTCACCTGCAATCCTAAGCTGGACACATTAGGACCGTTTTTGGAGGTGACTTTTGGAGGATTTTGATTCGGGGTAAAAGTTGTTTTGAGTGAAATGAATTAATGGGATAGAAAGCCTATGGATAGCACTTGCACTCTACAATTGCCCGACCATGTTCAAATGTTTGAAAAGGCGATTTGTAGAGTCCAAGTTACTCGGACTAGGCCTAGTAGTACTGAGTACTAGGCCCACCGTGCCAACATCTACTTCCAGGCATTCTCGCAGTCGGGATGATGTCACTCATCTTGATGTCACTCGTCTTGATTCTTCTCTCTGATTGGGTAAATTGGTGGCTATTCCGTATTTCACACTCAAACCTCAAAGGGGCAAAAATAGTGTTGCAGTCTATGGGAAAAATCTGAACATTGACTGAACTCTTGACCTTTACATCAAATGTGCATGAAATTTCACTATTTATGTGCTACGAATATCTCCCACCCTGTACTTAAAAGGTTTTAGTTATTTTTATCATGTTGCAGCAAAAAAGGAAGAAAAAATGCAAATCCCTGTATAAAGTACCGTAAATGGAGAGTTGCCCCTTTGCCCAGACAAGAGTGCAATAAATGGAACCTCCAACTGCGAGAATGGTTCTTGGGGTAGGCCAGGCCTATATTATTGCGATCGGGATGACATCACTGAGTCTTGATATTTCTCTCTGAAGGGGGCAAAAATAGTGTTGTAGTCCTTGCCATACTATGTAGGCCTAGGCCCTATGGCACGTAGGCCCCCTAGGGGAGAAATCTGAATTAAGTTTAAGCTTACATGTACATCATACCTAGTCTTACTTACATCAAATTTGCATGAAACTTCACTATTTATGTGCAATGAATATCTCCCAATCTGTTATGGAAAGGTTTCGGTTATTGTTATCATGTTGCAGCAAAAACGGAGGTAAACATGCAAATCCCTGTAACAAAGTGAATGGAGAGTTGCCCCTTTACCCAGACATGCCAGAAGTGAGATGGTGAGTGCAAACTGCGAACTGCAATGGAACAATCTCCAACCGCGATAAGCAGCCTCGATTAAAATGGCTACAATCCTGGACAAATCTTGTTGGAACATGCCTCCCCTTGCCCCCTGTCAACATATTGTTTCTCATTGGGTAAGCTGGGCCGAATCTTGGTTCATTAACACCCTCCTGTGATGTCAGGAATGGAGCAAAGTGCACCATTTGGGATCTTATGAATGGCAAACAACACAAACAAGGGAGACTAATGTCACTTTTTATTTCAAGTTTAATTCAAACACCTCTAATAAATTAGGCTCTTTGAGTGTACATGTAGGTTATGAGCTTTTGTGCTTATAAATAACCCATTACAATCATTACCTTTGTCACATTACAAAACAAAAAGTATCAATAACACCGATGTCTAGTCGCTTACAGATTAACATAGCCCAAGTTAATTCATAAAACGCATGCCATTAAAAACAACAAAAATTATGTCAACTCAACATATTGCAGAGTCCACAATTTATTCGACTGGCACAAGGTTCATGTTGTTATTTAGTATCCCTTAAAAGACTACATTTTATCCAGCATGTATCAAGTTACATTTCACCATACCTTGAGTCAATTTACTTAATTAGTACAAGAACTTCTTACACCCTTCCATTCTAGCCACTAGCACACTTTCAACAAAAATTCTACTTTAACTGGCACAAGTTTCATACCATTAATTTCAGTGCTTACACCGTATAAACCTTAGCTAGCATAGTCTGTGTACATGTATATAAAAACCAATGTCATTTTACTTCACCTAGGAGAAAAATTTCAAAATTGCCAAACAATTACTCTTTTGGTGCTTTGCAACAAATACCTACATGCTTAAGTTGACAGTGACAGTGATGTTTCTAGAGTCTTGATTCTCTAAATTCGCGATCCCAAAAGACTCGGTGGCAGTAGTGCTAGTTGCTGGCTTCTTGGCTGGTGTGATGATACCACTAGACCCACGGCCTAGTACAACTGAGTTGACTTTGCGTTTGAGACTGTCTGATGTGCGTTTATAGTTTCAGACAGTATTTGATCTATGTCCAGTTACCTCACAGAGTTGTTCGTCAATATTCTCCTTATACAGACGTGAGGCAGCACTGGCCCAAAGGGACTGATGCATACAGTAACCGGCCAGTCCTCCTTGTTTGCACATGTGGGCAACAACCTGGGCCAGTTTGTGACGGCCAAGTAGCTGAGTAGCATACCAAACCTTTCCTCTTGGCTGAGCCAGCGGTTGCAAGTAAAAAGCGTCTGGTCGTTTGTCTTCAGGAGGACAGTGACGCTCGTACTTCTGAACAATGTAACAACACATCGCTCTCTGTCTTCCTTCTTGTGCGCATCCACAACCTTTGGCTGAAGGTGACGATGTTGCAAGCCGCCTTGGCTGGTTTTGTAAGCATCCTCGGTGTACCTCAGGAACTTGTCACCATTATTGTCACACTGAATTTGAAGTTGCGCCGATTTCCATCGCAAATTTCTGTGTTCCTGTCCACCACGAAGGGTGAAATTCAATCCAATCAAATACACCAGTGTGTTGAGAAGCTGGGTGGGATTGTAACTGCCGAAAACGCTCTTCTGCCACAATGAATCATCCTCCTTGACCGTAATCTCCTTTGCTCGTTTGTGACATATTCCAAAACCTGCCTTTGCTAGCTCTTTCATAAGTCCATCAAGAGTATTTCTCAGCTGTAGGAAATCTGGATCCGACAAGAACTTGTAACTTTTGCCTTTCAACTCAAAATAAAGCTGAACGCAGATCACCAGCTCAAGAAGTGTCTCCCCTGGGTAGTCTTTACCATTCTTCTTTTTCACCTCACATATGAATCTAGATAGCAAGTAATTAAGCTCTTCTTGGTCATGTTATGCTAATATACCTTAAAAGGGCTGATGTTCAGTGATGCATCACCGACAGCTTTCATCTTGCGAAATATCTGCCAATCACGAAACAAATCAAAGGCCCACTAGATTTTCCATTCCGTAATTTCAGCAAATCTGTAAATGTAAAATATCAACATTTAAGGCGTTACACACTATACTGCAGATTCTCACTTTTCTTAACCCTTTTCTTTAGTCTTCTTAGACACTAAAAAAGCTCTTAGAAAGCTTGTAACTTTGCCGAGAATCAGGAATTTTGAGAAAAAAACTTTTATTGAAAGTATTATTTGCTTGTCACAGTAAATAAATAAACAGCTAACATCTACCTTCTTCTGCCAATGTCCACCATTTCCGAGTCTGCGTTTGGGTCCTTAAATCATTTGTAGTTCCCTGCACCGTCTGCAAGGGTAGCACATCCCGGTTTTTCATCTGCTCAGCAACTAGGGTTGCTGCCAATAGCTCATCATCAGAAATGTCGGACACAATTGGTTCATATTTTATTTTGGCCTGGAAAAGGATGTCTTCTATGTTTAATGTGGCATCTGACACGCTGGCACAATCTTTAGTGTCCGAGCGAAATGTGTTTTGCGTAAGGAAAATACTGCAATCAATGTCAGAACTAGCCTCACTAGTGTGGCACAGACTCTCACTCCCGATCCATCCTTAGCCACACTTCCGTATGCGCAATTTCGTGTCGGCGTACTCAACATTTTTGGCGCACCCATTTATCATCATGGGCGCAATTTCTTTTGCACACGGATATGATCTTTGACCTTTCCGTTTTCTAAAAACCATTTATTTAATGATTTCACTTACGTTATTCAAGTATTTTCCAGTCTTTTTGCCTTCATCCATTCAATCTAACGTGCTCGCTCTCTCAGTCGCCATCTTTAAAATAAGATCCTTGAACAATACGTTATTTGACCTCTCATTGTCTCGACGGCTCTTCCATGTCAAGACATGTAATAAACAGATTGGGCGATAAGATACTACATGTACCAATGGGCTCTTCCAAAACTTTGGCAGCAGTTTAAATGTCTTGACATGGAAGAGCCGTTGAGACGATGAGAGGTCAAGTGACGTATTGTTCAACGATCTTATTTTAAAGATGGCGACTGAGAGAGCGAGCCTGTTAGATTGAATGGATAAAGGCAAAAAGACTGGAAAATACTTTAACCACTACCAGCCGG